TTTTCATACAGAAGAGGACATAATTTCTCAGCATGTCCAATAACACCACATCAAAAATATAAATTTGGTAGCTTCTTATATTTAAAGTCTACCCAGTACCCTTCTCCCTTGCTTTTTCTTAGATTGGTCCCAATCTTTAAAGGTTTACTCAAGTCCATGCGAACTCTCACACGCATATAAGTTTCCCTCTTTTTATGAAATTGTTTATCATCCCAAGTGACAAATTCACCTAGATGATTCCCAATTCTTCCAGCCGTTCCCAAATTTTCATAACTATACGACACATTGTGAACTTGTACCCGAATCTCAAACGCATCTAGCGACACCTTAAGCGGGATATCACTTAGTTTAATAGCTTTTAACACAATCAAATTCTGATCAAACAGCCAGGGTTCACTATCCAGGGCACGATTCATATCAACAGAGTGGAAAAATTCAAATAGGTACCTCCTTTCACCAATCTCATGTATCGAGATTCCTTTGCCCGGACGCCATAAATCTGCCATGAAATCCCTAAAGAACGGAAATCGAACAACTTTGTTCGTGAGAATCATCCCAACAACCGGAAACTCCTCCAGCTTTGTTGCCCCGATCGCCGATTCCCTGTCCTCTTCGTCCTCAAGCAACAATTCCTCCTCGATTCCCCCAATGCCCAGGCCTCCGTATTTGACGACGAGATTACCCACCTGTTCATCCTCATGGTCTCGGTCATCCTTGTGTCTCTCTCCTGCTTTTTCCTCCATCTCCTCGCTACCACGGTCGTCCATCCAGAGCACTACGACGCAGTGTCGCGTCGTTAAAGAGCGTCGCACCAAGACGGCAAAAAATTGAACCCTAAGCTCTTGATTCTGCTTATTTATGTAAAAATTATATTTAAAATATATTTTATTCATAAAATAAAGACAAAATTATATAAAAATAGCTAAAATGATCCTCTACAATAACGTCCTCTAATACAATCAGAAAAGTAACTTTAACCTTACTTTTTCTTATTTGTTTTCTTGTGTCTTTTTTGTTGTTGTTGGTTTTGACAGTTTGTTTGAGTTTTTTGCCTCTCTTTATAGCATTGGGTATGGTTGGATCTATGAGAACAGGTTTGGCAGTGTCAAGCCCACTACAGGTTAGCGATTCATGTTGCTCTCTCAGTGGTGACCGTCTCAAAGTCTCACCATAGGGTTACAGATGTGGTTGTTGGAGTTTCAGTTGGTGTCGGTTTTATTTTCCCTTTGCTTAATGTAATGATTTTGAATCTTTTGATATGAATAGAGACCTGTTTTGATGATTAAATAAAGAACGCCTGTTTTAGTTTTTCTCACCCAAAACTCACAAAAGTATTTTTTAGTCCTTAGAAACACTCCCTAAATAGATAAATAAAGTAATATAATTCGAAGTTGGGCTTCTCAATGAGTCAGGTCTCGATTCAAATTCGATCAAAATCAGTTTTGGATATGGGTATGACCGTATGATCGATATCCATCAACCTTAGCTTGCTTGCAATAAGAGTTCAAACCTATTCTTTCTAAGGTTTAACTTGACAGGGAGTAAAGCTATATTGAATGTAACGGGGATCCCCATTCCGAAAGGTTACCCATTTTGGATTGAACGGTTTGAACCCCGTTTTAAAACTTTAATTTAGACAAGGGTTTAAATAAGGAATGCTTACGAATACAACTAGGCCTGATTAGGTATAAATAAATAACAGGTACAAAAATTGAATAATTTAACAAAATAATATAAGTAATAGAAATTGTCCAAAACATGACAAAAATATTGCAAAAGTTCACAAATAGGAGTTTACATTTAATTTCCCTTATTATAATTTAGCACCCTAACCTTATTTCATTTTCTAAACGAATTGTCGTGTCATATCGTCTGATACATCTCATTTCTCTCATCTCTCCCCTGTTTCTGAAATTCAGACGTAAGCCTTCATCCCTATGACTCTACCCCTCTCGCCAGTCTCTTCCCATTGCAACAATATCTTCCGCTCTCTCATATGGTGAGATATAATTCCTCATCTGGTTACAAACACTTGGCGACAACGGCAGCGTAATCAATTTTTTTTAAACCCGGAAGGTAAACCACCAAGTAGGAATGCCAAATAAATCTGAATAATAAGCATGTCGGGCTGAAATAGGTAAATCTGAAGTCCGCAAGAAACTTTGGTGTTGGGCCGTGGCCTGCTCAGCTAAAAAGTGAGAGACCCAATTACATTCTCTCAAACCATGTTGAAAGGCAAACCTTTTCCTTTTTACATTTTTTGATGCAAAAACATTTTATTAAGAAAGGAGGAAAAAGTACAGGTGAAAGAAGTAAAAAAAAAGGAGAAACAAGGGGAATGCAACTAAATATAGAGCCCAACCCTAGCCATACAAATTCCCATCCAATAGAACCCTAACTCGCTAAGTATAGTAAAACTCATCAATGCTCCATGCGAGTATGAGATCGCGTAATTTCCTGATACTCCATCTTCCATCCACCTGCACCGCCATCAGCGACATATCTCAAGGCTGCAGCAGCATCCATTAATCGTCATCAATTTATCTTAGGTAAGTGCGGATATCCTTCTCTTTCTCCCCCCTTTTCTCCTTCATCGTTTTCCTCTTCATCCTCTTTTACCCCGTCATCTCTCTTTTATTTCCTTTTTTGGATGTTTTTTTATTGCTTTCATCTTTGATTGTTATCTTGTGTTGATTTCAATTAGTTTTTTTGAAAATCTTTTATTCCTCTTTTCTTGAACATTTTTAATTTGGAAGTGCCACTATTTTTTATTCAAACTTTATTTGTGAATAATGCCAATTGTATATATAGCACTGCCAATGTCACTGCTAGTTGTTTCAAAAGCCAACACTTAATGCCATGTTATTAATCTGAAATGTCATTTTGACTGAATTCCATTTTAATGGTAGTATCCCTTTTGATTTTGTAATTTTCCTTTTTCAAGATGGCATTATTATCTATCTGACAATGTCATGATTCAAATGAAATTGCCATGTTTCTTCAATATATAAATTATATTCAAAGTGTCATGTTTCTTCAATATAAAAATTATTTTCAAAGTGCCGTAATTTTTTATACTAAAACTTTTTTAGTATTACACTGCATAATGTGTCATTTTTATTTTTATCTTGAATGAGTATTAGTTTTATATTTTATATTATGTTCTTCGCATAATATGCAATGCTTTTGCTTGTAATTGGATTTCGGTGAACTTCGATTGTTTAATCCCTGGAGAAGAACATTAGACTGAAGTCGCATCAGAGGAGATTGATGGCGAAGGTAGTCACGCTTGAGGGCATGGGTTCGGCGCCTGCCGCGCCAGAGGACACAACTGTGGTGGCGCTTGCGCCGGGGAAAACGGCAGTGGCAGTCATTCCCTAGGATTGGCTTTCACGTATACGAGATGTCGATTGAGGCATCTAGAGTATCTTTTCAAAAGATAAAAAAATAATTTATTTTTTTAAAAACATAAAAAAAGTGACATATTTAAGAGAATATTACCCAAAATAAGAGTAAAAAAGTTTGAAAATTTCAAAATAGGAGTGTCATCATGTTTATATTCCCAAAATAGGACTAATTACAGCCATGTTTTGACAGTACCAAACTTTAAACATGGCAATATTTTTCAAACTTGACAGTAATTAGTCCTATATTGAGAATAGAAACGGCAGTCCTGTTTTGGAATTTTCAAACTTTTTTACTCCAATTTTAGGAACTCCACCCATATTTAATGACTTGTTCGTAGAGACTCGACATTTACTTTTGAGTTGTCCCCAAAAATACATTAGAGTAACTCTTGTCCTCCAGTTACTCATGCATAATGACACATATTTTTTGTCCAAAAATATAATTAGTCATGTTTTTGTACTTAAATGTTTCATTAAGGGCAAATTGGTCAAGTCCATCCCATTTTTACTCCTACCAAATTTTGAACTCTTATTATTGCACTAGTTTCCTGTTAGTGGAATTAACCGTTTAAGTAATTCACACATGAAAGTATCACATTTCATATTTTCATTTGAAAGTTAAGTACTAAATACTTAGATTAGAATTAATATGTATTTAGTGTATAAATAAGAATAAAATATTTATCTAACTTACTCATTACGTAGTAGTCTGTACTATGTTAGCAGGGGCGGAGGTATGTGTTATGTCAAGGGGGCCATGGCCCCTCCCAATATTTTAATTTTTTTGAACTACTATTAAAAATTATTTTGGCCCCTCCCCCCAAACAAAATATGAAGGCAATTCTTAAGTCTATATATTTTAAGTAATTTTAGTACCGTAATTTTTATTGTCTCATTAAAACATTATTAGTCCCTTACTTTACTCACATGTTGATTTTTTTTTTGAAAATACTCACATGTTGATTAGTTACTCTAATTAACAGGTCTTTGTGATTTAAAGAAATTTCCACCTGAAAGTACATTTTCGGCAAAAAAAATGACCTTAGTGGCAATTATTTGTAGAAAAGTGTACTTTCTGGTGCGAAAGTATTTAAATTGCAAAAAAAAAAAATTACATAATCAAATGTGTGAGTAAGTGAAGTATCAGGACTAAAAACGAGCAAATAGTACATTTATGAAATCAAAATTGCAAATTTTTGTTTACATTTTAATACTTACTACTTCCTCCGTCCTGCTAAGATTGTCACATTTTACCTTTTTGGGAAGTCCCACTAAGATTGTCCCATACCAAATTTGGTAAAGTTTGTGTGACTCTAAATCATTCTTACTTTATTCTTACTTTGTCAATTTAATATCAACCACAGAAATTCACTTTTCTTAATGATCGTGCCATATTCTTTTATACCAATCTTAGTGTGACGGAGGTAGTGGTATCTTATATCATTACATTTTAATACTTTCATGCACGTCTTAATTAAAAATATGATAGTACAGATTAATTACTACCTTGGTTTTGATTTTTCAGCGCCTCTCTCACGTGCCTTATCACTCTCAGCTCAGCTCTCCACGTCATTCCTAACCGCCGCCGGCTATGAACGGAGACGACGAGCAATTTCAGGTTTCACTTTTCTGTATATGATCCCACTGATCCAATTTCTTTTGTTAAACAGAGCTTTTATTCTTCCATTATTACATAAGCACATTGCTCCGTGATACCCCTACGAGATTCTTGTCATGCACTCATCACTCATGCATGTGTTTTTTCACAATCTTTTTTCTCTTTCAAATTTTCAATTCCTAATTTTCTTGATTGCCCACTGCTGCAACTCGGGGAGCTTAATGTAGAACCTAACACCAGTAACACGTAGCTCAGGGATGTTTGGAATTGATTCTGCTTCTACTTCTAAAAAATTTAAAAGTAGAAAGACTCAGAATCAAAATCAGTTTTTTAAAGCTCAACTCTCCCACTTTAAAAAATTGCTCCTAGGAATAATTTGGAGCACCCAAAAGTACTTCGGCTTCATCCAAACTCTCCTGTATATGTTGATGCTCCCCGAAAGAGCAGAAGAAGTTTTTTTTTAAAGAAGTACACGATAGTGGGAAAAGTTTCAATGTAAGGTGAAATTTGTTTTTACGCCACCTAAGTGTGAAGGGGGTTAGTGTTGGGGCTGGTTACCTGGGCTCAGAACTCATTTTGATAAAACAGAATGAGTTTAGATTCTTTTTTTAGATTCTTGCATTGTCTGAATAGAAAAAACCAGAAGGGTTAAATCTTAATACTAAATGCCTTGAAAGGGAAGAAAAAAGATGGGAAAATTGATTTGAAAATTCTGATGATGACCTTTCTTGTTAAGTATCAATTATCAAATGTTGATTATGCATTGTAAATTTGTAATACATTTAAGCTTTGGAGTAGTACTTTGTAGTAGTGTAATTAATGGTATTAATTACACTATTACTTTGTATTGAATATATCGCAGATAATTACTAATGAAGTCATGTTCTTTTAATTTGGTTTGGTTACTGGATTTCAAACAATGCAAAGTCAACTTTTATGCATGATCCATCAATGTTGAACCACATAGGCCAGAACAGTGCATCTCCATTTGCTAACCAGGGAGTACAGAATAATATTGCAGATTCACCTGTCTCCAAAGCGAAGGTTATATTTTTGTACTCAGCAGAGTTACACACAAGTTCTGTTATGGTAGTTCTTATTTATCTTATTATATTAGTAAATATCATACAAATATAACACTATATTTGTGACCAAATACTGCAGAAACATCAGGATGCGTTACAAGAGGCTGGTCTGAGAGTCAAACAACATGAAGAAAATATGAAGTTTTTACAGACTAAGAAGAACAAATTGGATGATTCGATTATAGATCTACAAGGTAGTTATTTTTATTAAATATTAAAAAATGCTCTTCTTATGAAAAGAAAGGTGCTAGAAAGAAACAATAATGCAAAAGGCATTCAGTTTCTTATGAAAAAAAAGGTCCAGTTCTATGTATTCAATTCCGAATGTTGCATAAAATAATCATGAGTAGTTTTGAAGATCTGTGATAGCATTGTGAAATATGTAATTCCCTATCTAATGATTTCCTAGTGACAGTCTAGCCTTTAGCCTCTGTTTGGCATGCAAAAATGGAAGAGAGAAAGGAAGGGGAGGGAAAAAAGAAATGTAACATATCCTGTGTTTGGCATTCTAGAGAAATATCTGAGAATGATGAAACATACCTGAGACCCACAGTCATTTTCTTTCTTTGCTCAAGTGAGAGGAACCAAGGAAAAGCTGATCATTTTTATTGATGACCAAAACACCTTTTAGCCTTCTCTGTGATCTGTATAAAACCATCAACAATGTATTCTAATTTTTTTAAACCAAATACTATTTTTTCAATACAAAATTTACATTTCTTATACTTCTTCTCACACTGTTTCATACTTTCATCTCACATTTTTACTACAAAGGATAATGTTAGTGACTTTGTGCATTCACATTGTGCTTCTCCCATTTTCTCTTTTTTTATTATATATTTTATATATCTGGTCCCAGTTGCACTTGGCAAATATCATTCAGCAACTAGCCCTGCAATTGGAAATGATGGTCTCTCCTATTTACGGAGTGAGGAGGAAACACTTGAACAGATTTTAAAGCATGAGAAATCTGCAGCTGCGGTTTTGTGCCATCTGAAAACCCTTCCTCGCACTCGGGAATATAATTCTCCAGTACGAAAGGATGTGCTTGGGGTTGTTGCCACACTTGCAAGAGTTGAAGATGATAAACTCAGCATGTTTGTTATTTTTACCTTGTGATTTGTACTTGCTCCCTTTTATTGACAGTTACTTTTTATCGATTGTTCACCCTTTTATGCTGGACTTACATTATTAGTTCAATTCTTAAATTGCGTTTAAAAACTCATCTCAACTATATATTTCTCTAAATCTCTGATCAACAATTCAACAAAGATGGTGTTTCATGTGAAATGAATACAAGTTTTGGCTAAAGGGTCAAATAGGTACATGAACTAACTTACAGTGTTCAATTAGCCTTAAGGGGCTAATTGAACACTTTAAGTTAGTTCATGTACCTATTTGACCCTTTAGCCTACAAGTTTTTGGTAGACCATGTGACACTGGTGAACTACTGGACTTGTTGTTTAGTACTCAACTATTCATTTTTATTGATGAAACTTTACCTTTCATATTCTAAAAGCAGGTTAGTTGACAAATTAGACATAGGCATAATTATGCAGTACAATGCCTGACATTTCTCCTTGGCTTATCTGAAATTAAGGGCTCTCTCAGATTACTTGGGACTAGAGACCATGTTAGCTGTGGTATGCAAGACCTATGATGGTGTTAGGTTGCTGGAAACATATGACCATGAGGGCATGGTAAATAAAAGCTCGGGACTTCATGCACTTGGAATGATCATCGGGAGGCCTTTGGATGGCAGGTTTCTTGTCATCTGCCTTGAGAACTTAAGGTTAGGCTGGTTATGACTAATGATGTTATTTTTGGAAACCTTATTGAATTACTTTTGGCAACCTTTTATTTACTTTAAGATTAAAATTGACTTTAAAACTGGACTCTTTTTTAAGACTTAGGCTGTACTTCTAAATCCTCACTGACCTTATGGTTTGCTGTTTAGTCCATTTGCTGGTGATTTCATAGCTGATGACCCACAAAGAAGGCTTGATCTTCCAAAACCCAAATTACCAAATGGGAAATCTCCACCTGGTTTTCTTGGGTTCGCTGTTAATATGATCAATGTGGATAGCATTAATCTGTGTTATGTAACGAGCAATGGTCATGGCCTAAGAGAGACCTTGTTCTATCACCTCTTTTCACGCTTACAAGTGTACAAAACGAGGATCGAGATGCTTCGAGCTCTCCCGTGTATAAGCAGCGGGGCAGTCTCTTTGGATGGTGGAATTATAAAAGGTGCTGGCATATTTTCCCTGGGAAGCAGGTAATAAACTAACTGTCATAAATAAATTTGTTAATATATCATATGGCGTATTTTTTGTCTCATTGACAAGCTTTGGTATTACTTTTCTATGTGTGTGTGAGTTATTTGCGGATGCAGGGATGTAGATGTGAAATTTCCCAAGAACTTTGGAAGGACATATCCCTCTCAGAACTTTTTCCAAAACGAGAGTAAAGTGAAGGAACTTAAATGGGAAAGGGAAAGGATTTCAGAAGACATGCAGAGAGAACAAGCATTGCTATACCATGCCAAGGTCAACTTTGAAATAAAAAAACAAGAGTTCATCAAACACCATGCTCAGAGCTCATCATATGCCGCTCAAGTACTGTCTATGTCTCTGTGTTATTTGCGAATGCTCGTCCATTAGGATAATCTGTGCATCTCAATAGTCCTAAATAACTGTGAATAAGATACTAGAAGTAGGGCAAATGACACTTTTAGCACACCTATTATTGGCCCTGCTTGTATTTCAGCGTTTTGGTGGCCAAAACGCTACATGTTGCAACGTTTTGGCCTTGTTTGTATTTCAGCATTTTGGTGGCCAAAACGCTATATGGTGCAGCGTTTTATGTTAAAAACACATGGCGTTTTGGGGTGAAACGCGGTTACACAAACACCCTCTTTATGTTAAAAACGCATGGCGTTTTGGGGTGAAACGCGGTTACACAAACATGAAACACCCCCATATCACACGGAAGTAGTGGATTTACTACCTCTACTATCTTGTGTCACTGCTTTTAGTAATTGAGTTGTTACTAAAGTGGTGTTTTTACTTTTTAGTATCCCCACAATCCTCATTAGTAGAGAAAAATTGAGAATAATATGAATTCTATCAGCCTCTATTTTTAAAATTAAGAGAATTGTATAAGAATGGACTCAGGGCCGGCCCTGGACAAGGGCAGGCCGGGCTTGTGCCCCGGGCCCAACATTTATAGGGGCCCATAATTATATATAAATGGATAAATATAGAGAGGGCAATTCATATCAGACCGAGGTCATTTGGGGCCCTTTATAGAGGAATTTTTTTATGAAACTTTTTTAGAGTATTTTTCATCAAGTGTAAATTACATTCACAAAATTTTAGTTTAAAAATCAACTGGGAAGTCAGTTAAATAAAATATTGAAACACACTGCGCTTTGTGTATATAAATAATGCGCACTATCTTTCAATAATTTATTTAACTGACTTTCAGGTTGAATTTTAATCTGAAACTTTGTGGAGATATTATAGATTTCATGAAGAATATATTTAAAAAATTTCATGAAAAAATTCTATCGGGAAGGGCCTCAAATGGCCCCGGTCTGACATCATTTCCCGTTAGGCAGGCCTAATTTCAAGGTTTCATCTTTGGACTTTAATTCGTTTTGCTCAGCAATCAACACTCTCCTAATTTTCTCAAAAATATCTTCCAAATTTGAAATTTCAATTTCACAAGTCATTATCTGGTTTATTTTTTATTTTTTAATATAATTTTTATTCGTTTAGTTTATATATTAAGACTTTGATGAAAGACTTGCATTACTTTGTATGTTGAAATTTGCGCATATAAAGTTAAGCTTTTGCAATATATTTATATAACCTTTTAAGGACCTTCTTTTTTCAATCGCCCCGGGCCCATAAAATATCAGGACCGGCCCTGAATGGACTCAAATGCTTATACGATTACATTTCAAAATTTATTATCATGTCTTTAGAAAGTCAAATACACAAAAGGTATAATGAATGAAATATTTTAGCTGTTTAAACAATTTATATTGTAAAATAATTTCTCTTTTTGAGCAAAAAGTATTTTAATATTTGGCTGTGATCTTATGCAATTATTTTTAAATGAGATATTTAAACCAATTTATATATAAACTAAAATCTTCCAGTGAGGGGCTAAGAAGCTGTTCTCTTCGCCTGATCTGAATGTTTCTGATCTGAATTTTTTAAGTTCTGATCTGATCTGATCTGAATTTTTCTGATCTGATCTGATCTGAATCTTTCTGATCTGATCTGATCTGAATCTTTCTGATTTGATTTGATCTGATCTGAATCTTTCTGATCTGATCTGATCTGAATCTTTCTGATCTGATCTGATCTGAATTTTTCTAATCTGATCTGATCTGAATTTTTCTGATCTGATCTGATCTGAATAAAATAAGAATAAGCAATAAGTAATAAGAATAAGACGAACAGAACAGCACCTAAACATCCCACTTTCATAATAGTTGATGGACTTAAAGTGAAGAGACTAGTAATTGAGGGACTAAATCTACTATTTCCCTATTATTGGAGGACTAGAATTACTAGTTTCCTCAAAATGAAATCATGCTCACTTTACTATAGCCTAGTTCTTGAATAGTTTCCTTAATTGTCAAATCAGTACTAATCTTATGGGAAATTATCTCTTGTATTTGGTTCCATCTTCCTGAATCCAACCATCACTGGCTTTGATTGATATCCAGATGCAGCAACTCCAGCTTTAGCATTAGAGTTTTGAAGGAGTGGGTAATATCAGGAGTAAGATTTTCTGGTGTATACTAAGATGGAAGCTCAACAGATTTGTCTCCGCAACTATAGGCTTCACCTTCGGTCTCTGCATATCATCAATTCATCATCCTTTTATTTATGTCCATGTATTTGTTGGAATGTGATGGAATAAAGAAAAATAACTCACTAAACTATATGTGTTTCTCTGTTATGAAGCAGCAGTGAGTTCATGCCATTTTCGACTTTGTTTTCATCATTAGTCGTCCAGAAATAGTCTCTATGTTTTAGTACAAATGTACTAGGGTAATGTTGTTGTTGTATGTTTATCGAACCCCTTACTTCGTCATAGGTGCGAGTCTTTGCGGCACTGGAGTAATGTTGTATTGTTGCTGTTGTTGTTGTATGTTTATGTTGGTTTACATCCTAGCTTTGTCCGTAGTGCACCAGCCATCACTACACCAAAACTGGATATTTTGGACACTTTTACTTTTTCAAATTTGACTAATAAAAACAGTCTATTCGTTTTTGACTCAAAAAATCAGTCGAAGTGCTCCTACTTTTCATTAGAGCTGTGGATAAAAGTAGCACTCTTTTTTTGACGGGCCAAACTGAAGTCAATCGGCAAAAATTCGCATGTCTGCCCGCGGCAAATGAAAAACAAAGTCCCGCTCACAACTTTTATTATTTTTGATAAACCTAGAGTTACGGTGTTCCAACGAGGGGAAAACAAAATTCACATCTCTGCGAGCCGCTAAAATTCAGTTCATTCGTGCCAACAGATCCAGACGAGAACGAAGAGCGGAATATAACTGAACCAAAGGAGAAGCTAGAGGCCGTGTCCGGTACCTTTTACTTCGTATCCTGTCAACCATAATCCACCGGGACTCTGGAGTGTCATACTCGAGCCGCAGCGCTATTCGGCTATTCCTCTGGAGCTTTGGCTTGTCAGTGATCTCATTCTCATATCTGAGTATGAGAATTGATCACAAAGAGGGGTATAACAGAGCCAGGTATGAGGGCTTTTACTAATCTATCGTGTTCCTTGTTTTTATTCTTGTTCGGATCTTGTACATGGATCTAATACTTGTTAGTTTGTAGATTCAACGAGCATGATTATTTGATTATTGCAAGTGGTTTGTGATTTTGATTATGCCCTCTAACTGTTTGACAAAATTACCTAGAGTCTTGTGAAGGGGTGTGATAAATAAAATTATTCTCTTAATTTGGAGTGTCTAACTGAACAAATCTTAGGACAAAAGTATATACATGAAAAGCTAATACTTGGTAAACTTCATTTTTATAATATATCAAATTTTATATACAAATCCGTATTGTTGAATATTTTCCCAGTCCACCTAAAATTCAGAAAAAGTGAAGTACATCTATTGTTTGGAATGATGTGGGATTTCTGTATCAATTTGGTACAATATGACTGCCCATTGCCTTCTGATATAAAAATCCCTATCCAGCCACACCAAGTACCCACTCTTAGAAAGAAAAATCACCCCTTTTCGTTTTGTTTTTTCCATTCTTACAATTCCAGTCTCCAGGATTAGTTCTTTTCATCTGGGGGGGGGGGCATGTAATTATAATATATTTGTCACTTCTTCATCTCAAAAAACTGGTGTGATGAAAGTGGTATCAAACATCTACTAGCTTATAAAAGGAGTTTTAAATAGTTGTAAAAAAACAGATAACGGATCACCCCCACTAGAAAAAGATTATTATTTATAATTTTACACTTCCAACATTGTTTTTTTATCGTGATATGTAAAGTGGTTAGTAAACCTCATACATTTATAATTTCTTAATTATATGTAAGTAAATACTGGAGTTATTATGATTGATAAATGGTAATGCATGTGTTCTTGATACACTTAAAAGATTTGAGACCCTTCCTCCAACTTTCATCAAATAGTTTCAGTATAAAAGGTGATATATAGGTAGGAAATGTTCGTTAAACTTTTTTAATAACACATAGGTAGCATCATGTGAGGAAAGACTAGGCTCCGCTTAAGGAAAGACTAGTACTTTTCCATATATCTTGGACACTATTCTCTTTGTTTTTTTATTCTTGTTTTTAAATATTGTTATTCTAATTTAGTTTTTCAGGTTCTGGTTGTTCGAATGTTCACTCATATTTGATGTTGTGTTCTTCCCCATTTTCTGTTGAGTAATAGTTACTTTTTTTCTAATTTGCTAAAATTATTTATCAATAAGTATGATAACTTATGTTCATTTATGTCTATTGTTTTCAATTTTTTACAAATTATATTCTACACTGTTCAAAGGTTTAGTTGTATTTTTACGAAACCTTTTATTTTAAACTTATATTTTTAGTATACTGTTGTACCTCATTAAAATTGAAAACTTTTTAATAATAAAGCTACCATACTTGGTGTATCCGGTATGGTACCGTACTCGTATCTTTTCAACATATTATAAGTTGATTGTGTAAGATGTCGCATTTTTTATTAATAGATGGCATCTACTTCTCCAAGTAAAGAGTGGATGGATTCAGAAACTTTATCCGAAAAATACTTGTTAGGTGTTGCGACATTCCTTCAATTTACAAAAGAGAAGTTAGGTGGTGATGATTGGTATTGTTGTCCCTGCAAGAAATGTCTTAATAAAAAGAAGAATAATTTAAATGTTATATCTGAGCACTTGGTATCTAAAGGAATATTCTCATGCAAGGACTACTCCCGGTGTTTCTGATGTATGGATTTAAAAAGGAAAAGCCTTTACGGGCTGCAATTCAACAATTGGGAATTTTTTTTAAAGTCCTTTGTTCAAAGGTTATTAATCGTGCAGAACTTTCCCAAATCCAAAAGTGTATCGTGGAGACATTGTGTGTCTTTGAAACATATTTTCCGCCATCTTTTTTTGTTTCGATGACACATGTGATACACTTGGCTGAAGAGGCACAACTTTGTGGACCAGTCAGATATAGATGGATGTACCAATTTGAGAGGTAAAAATAATTTCCCTAGATAGATTGTTTATTATTTCAATACATTGCTTAATGTCTTTATTAATAATATTTTTTATGTTTTGATTTGAATGATTGTACATGACTAGGATGATGAGGACTTACAAAAGATATGGTAGAAACAAGACTTTTTTGGAGGGATCTATTGCGGAGCAATACATCTTGGAAGAAGCAATGAGGCACTGCATGGAGTACATACCCCATGGTATAGATAGAAGCCATAAACGAGGAGGGCGAACGTACATTGAAAATGAAGATGAATGTCCTTATCCTAGCAATGCAAATGGTAAAATATATAGGCTTTCAGGATTGCAATATGAACAAGTACGCAAATGGGTCTTGAAGCAATCTTCTGAAAATGCTGAATGGGAGGAGTACGTTTAGATTTACTTATGAAGTTATTGATCAAAATATATAGTGACTTAATGTTTAGTTAACTGTAATTCATTTTCATTGACAGGAAATACCAAACATATCTTCGAGAACAAAATTCTAGCGGGAAACGAGTGAAAGCGACACAATTGAAGATAAAGACCATGAACTATATTCCTTGGTTAAGACAACAACTTGAGAAGGAAGAAATGACTCATTTTAAGAGGCTTGCTAATGGACCAGATTCTGATGCTTTAGCATATAAAGCATATGCAGTAAATGGTTATATTTTTACACAGCGGATGCAGAATCTAATTCAAGTACACAGAACAGCGGAGTATCCGTGAATGCTGTTACGAGTTTTAGATCAAGTGCTAAAGATAAGAATCTAATAGATGAAGAAGTTACTTATTATGGCATTGTCAAGGAAATACTGGAGCTAAATTATTACGATTTTAGACAAACTGTCTTCTATTGTGATTGGGTGCGTATAGAAGACAAAGTAAATGGATGTGTAGTGGATCCAGAATCAAACTTGGTTTTTGTAAACTTTGCAAGGTTTAGAAGAAATTCAAATGAAGATGATGAACCATTTATACATGCTTCAGAAGCAACTCAAGTTTTCTATTGCAAGGATGAAACAAGGGATGCTTGGCACTTGGTTCTAGAATCTCCAAAAAGATTAAGTCATTATGTGGATGCTTATCAAGATCCTTTTATTTTTACAGAAACAACATGCAACAATTCATTAACCAACCTAATTCTTGCTGAAAATTCTGGACCTGATAAAGATTAGCATATGCTTTTCTAGAATTAGAAATACTATCTATGGATTTATTTTGTTTCAAATCACTATGTGATTGATTATGTTGTACCTTTTATAGTTTTAATATGTTTGATTGTGAAAATCAGCCTGGATTATGAGGCTCTTCAGGATCAATCTAATGATGCACATTGCAGCGGGAGTGATAAAAAGACATTTGATGAATCAGGTAATAGTTCCTTTACACAATGACTTCGTTTAATATTTTGTATATTTTAATTACTGAAAATCTGGATTCTTTTGGTGGCCTGTACGTTGGTCTTATTTAATGAATTTTGGCAGCCTGTTGGTATTGGAGCAAAGACTTTTTTCTGGATTCTTTTGGTGGCCTGTTGGTCTTATTCAATGAATTTTGGCAGCCTGTTGGTATTGGAGCAGAGACTTTTTTAACAGTAGTTGGAAATTTAGAACAGGTCTTGGATAAGAGGTTCAGACACTTTTCAGGTAAACTACTCTTCATGGCTTTGTTCTATCTGTTTTAGCTCATCAGTATAGCAACATTCAATTCTAAATATAATTGCAAATGTTTTCTTTTACAGCTTTCAGGAACAATTATGTTTCTTATAATCCTAAACCTTATCCAAGTTATTTTTCTTTAACTTTTGTTCCTCTTGGTGACTGAATATGCTTTCTGTAATCATTGATTTGAACTCATTGTTTTTTTTATATGCTTTTATAGATTATTATTGGTGGATGCTGCACTGTTTGAATGGTATACACAAGTCATATTGTCTATTTTGTGAAAAGAAACTCTCCTGTAATGCCTTATAAGATTAATTGATTAGTTCTTGTGTTTGAACTAATTTATAATAAATTCTTTAATGTATTTATTACTAATTAATTTTATAAATGACACAGGGGTGTGAATTTGGCCTAGCAAGCACATGTTTTTAAAAGAACTTGAGAAAGGGTCAGTTCCTATGGACGCTTAGATGCGGGAGTTTCACCGGATGAAGAAGCAGTAGCATTATTGATGGGATCTTTGTTGGTGAACTCATAGATTTGTCAAAAAAGATTGTTCATCTTTTATTTTATTAATTAGTAGTTACAATTTACTCTAGTTTTTGTTAAATGTTAGAATTTTGACCATTTGTGTCAATGACTCAATGGTACATACTTAATGCTAAATACATTTTAGACCTGGGTCGGTTTTGATTGTGTTTCATAGATGAATGATAATTGTGACTTTATTTTGTTCTCTTCAAATTAAATCTATTATATATAATTGTGTGTTATTGGTGTGCATAGGAGAAATACACCTTTGTTTTAAAAAATTTGATGTACAAAGTAAATAAAAATTGAATACATGTTAATACAACTAAAATATACCATATTATACACAACAAATCAATTTTGACTAATATTTAATGTCGTTAAACTATGACGGTTTAAAGTAGTCGTTATTGAAAATTTAATATCAACAAGTGAAGTCAGTCGAATTTTTTTTTTGACTCTTTTTTTTCGACGCTCACATTGACTGATCAAAACTGTCGAAAATGTCTTTTTTCGACTGTTTTGGTCAGTTGAAAAAGCTCATTTTTGGCGTAGTGCATTAGTACTAATTTTTTCTTTCTTTCGTACATGAATTATTATATGTCGTGGTCAAGGTCTTCAAGGACACTACTGTTGTACTAGGAAAGATAAAAAAATGCCTTTGTTGAAGTATTTGACTGTGCTCTTTTAATTTAATGCTAACCCACTCAATGCTTTAAATCAAGGTAGATTCTATGGTACCCCAAATGTACCGTACCTTTGTCCAAATGGACCAATAAAAATGATGCAGTTGAATTATTTAAATCTAAATTAAAAGACATATAATGATTTGGACCAATCAAATGCATGATAGGTACGGTACCCCATTTTTTAAATGGGTACCGGAGTTGTCACCTTAAATCAAATGTACACTACTTTAGAGACGCTTGTTTGACTCGACCTTTGACTAGTTTGTTATGGTGTGAACTAGTCACTTTAATTATCTCAAATAATTCTTCTCACTTATCTTTTTTGTTATCCCAAAAAAATAATAAAGAATGCAAATCTCATGAAACGAGAAACTAGTCGGTCAGCCTACGAGTCTAGGATGACTCATGAAACGAGAAACTAGTCGGTCAGGCTGCGCACATAATAAAGAATGCAAATCTCATCTCATCTATAGAACGCTCATTTTTTACATGAAAAGCAAAGGCATAACAACAATACTCCTTCCTCCCTGAAAATAAAGTGACTTGGATTTAAGTTCAAGAAAGTGAGAATAAAGTGGAAATGTATCTATCTCCTTATTTGAATGATTTCATTCAATTTTGGTAAGTTTCTCTCTGCAATGTCAACAACAATCTCAACATCTAGACGGTCTCCTTGACACTGTGGAGAAAAACTTACCAATATTGTATAAAATCATTTAAATAAGGAGAGAAAGAATTTATTTACTAAAAGTTATGTGACTATCTCTTATGCCACATGTGTACCGTGCACATTGTACCATTGGAGATGCTTTAAACATGTACCACTGTGGACCACTTTTAATATTTAGATTAAAGTTTTAAAAAAGATTAATAATATCTTGAAACTAGCTTGTACAACATATATAATCTCAAGGTATCAAATACATGAATAAATTTATACAAACATTGTGAAAACATATACGATAGTATCAGATTGACTTTTTTGTTTTCTTTCCCCCCAACAAGATATACTATGATATTTAATACTTAAAATGCAACGGTCAATATTTCACACTTGCCGAGACACAACTTTGACCATTAATATAAATGATTTTGTATTAGTAAAAAAATTAAAAAAATCATATTATGAAAATTTAAAATGAGACAAGTTTAACAATATTTTTTCATAAAATAATATTATTACACTAATAAATAAAACGTAGTCAAAGTAGAACATGTGAATAGTGTAAAAGTCAAAGTGTTGCATTTATTTAAGAATGGAGGTAGTAACATATACGGTCAATGCATCACATATAAAAACCAGTGCTGCATATACTATGTACGCAATATTAGTTTTACTTTGTCGGCATTTACTATGATGTCTAAGGATGTTTTTACTTGGACTGTAATTTGCTGGTCTGGTCTGGTCTGGTCTGATCTGGTCTGAACTGGTATGGTCTGGTCTGGTAAGATCTGGTTTCTTTGTATTTTTATAACTATCCAAGTCTGGTCTGGTCTGGTCTGGTCTGGACTGGTCTGGTCTGGGACAAATTACAGTCCAAGTAAAAACATCCTAAAGGGGTGGTTCGGTACGGTATACCTTATATTTTTTCTCATACCTTTTCCGTACCAAAACTTTCGGTACGCAAAATTTGCATACCTTTACCTTACCGAAGTTTCGGTATACCCACGTTTCGGTTCGATAACGGTACGGTAACGGTAAATTACCATGCATGTCTCCCAATACAAAAAATTATCATAGACTAACGAAATATACTAAATCGTTATTACTAGCGACATATTAAATCTATTATTAAAATGTTACGAAATACACTTAATAATCTATTGATGTCAATTCAAAATTGAACAATAATTATTATAGTATATTTAAGCAGTTCAACATGCCACATATTAAAAAGTAACACATTCGCCTAAAATAACTTGAACAATATAGATATAATTAAATCAATAGTGATCTCTAACATAAATAAATAAAACTATTCAAACAACATGAATATAAAATCATTTATTCCTAATATGATATTGTGTAGTTAGTCATTTTTATATATTTTTAAAAAATGAATAAGACTTTCGGACAAAGTTGTGTGTCTCGACTCGCGGAATCCCTATGTAGATACACTTATCACATAAGTGTATATCTCTTCACTCGTCAGCTACTTAGCGGCCCAACCATCATGACTTACAAGCTCTTGGAACAAGATGAACTTGTTACTTGACATTTGCACATTGAATTAATTCCACTTTTGGTCCTACGAGTTTTGTGTCAATTCCACCTTTAGTCCATGTCTTTTACTTTGTCCACTTTTGGTAGTTGACTAATGTTTTTTAACCGTTTGTGGTCCTTTTCCAACGATTTTAACCATCAGAAACAATGCCGGAAGGACCATATGTGGGCGAAAACCCAATAGTCGTGGTTCAAAAGTGGACAAAGTGAAAGATGTGGACTAAATGTGGAATTGACCTAAAACTCGTAGGATCAAAAGTTTTAAATCATTTCTATTAGATAATAATGATATGCAGTCTCTAAAATTAGATACTCCGTATAATAATTGTTTTCTATAACACAACTTATTATAGATATACATTTGTGATAAAAGACTGCATATCATTATTATCTAATAGAAATGATTTAAAACTTTTGATCCTACGAGTTTTAGGTCAATTCCACATTTAGTCCACATCTTTCACTTTGTCCACTTTTGAACCACGACTATTGGGTTTTCGCCCACATATGGTCCTTCCGGCATTGTTTCTGATGGTTAAAATCGTTGGAAAAGGACCACAAACGGTTAAAAAACATTAGTCAACTACCAAAAGTGGACAAAGTAAAAGACATGGACTAAAGGTGGAATTGACACAAAACTCGTAGGACCAAAAGTGGAATTAATTCAATGTGCAAATGTCAAGTAACAAGTTCATCTTGTTCCAAGAGCTTGTAAGTCATGATGGTTGGGCCGCTAAGTAGCTGACGAGTGAAGAGATATACACTTATGTGATAAGTGTATCTACATAGGGATTCCGCGAGTCGAGACACACAACTTTGTCCGAAAGTCTTATTCATTTTTTAAAAATATATAAAAATGACTAACTACACAATATCATATTAGGAATAAATGATTTTATATTCATGTTGTTTGAATAGTTTTATTTATTTATGTTAGAGATCACTATTGATTTAATTATATCTATATTGTTCAAGTTATTTTAGGCGAATGTGTTACTTTTTAATATGTGGCATGTTGAACTGCTTAAATATACTATAATAATTATTGTTCAATTTTGAATTGACATCAATAGATTATTAAGTGTATTTCGTAACATTTTAATAATAGATTTAATATGTCGCTAGTAATAACGATTTAGTATATTTCGTTAGTCTATGATAATTTTTTGTATTGGGAGACATGCATGGTAATTTATCGTTACCGTACCGTTATCGAACCGAAACGTGGGTATACCGAAACTTCGGTAAGGTAAAGGTATGCAAATTTTGCGTACCGAAAGTTTTGGTACGGAAAAGGTATGAGAAAAAATATAAGGTATACCGTACCGAACCACCCCTTTAGGATGTTTTTACTTGGACTGTAATTTGTCCCAGACCAGACCAGTCCAGACCAGACCAGACCAGACCAGACTTGGATAGTTATAAAAATACAAAGAAACCAGATCTTACCAGACCAGACCATACCAGTTCAGACCAGATCAGACCAGACCAGACCAGACCAGCAAATTACAGTCCAAGTAAAAACATCCTTAGACATCATAGTAAATGCCGACAAAGTAAAACTAATATTGCGTACATAGTATATGCAGCACTGGTTTTTATATGTGATGCATTGACCGTATATGTTACTACCTCCATTCTTAAATAAATGCAACACTTTGACTTTTACACTATTCACATGTTCTACTTTGACTACGTTTTATTTATTAGTGTAATAATATTATTTTATGAAAAAATATTGTTAAACTTGTCTCATTTTAAATTTTCATAATATGATTTTTTTAATTTTTTTACTAATACAAAATCATTTATATTAATGGTCAAAGTTGTGTCTCGGCAAGTGTGAAATATTGACCGTTGCATTTTAAGTATTAAATATCATAGTATATCTTGTTGGGGGGAAAGAAAACAAAAAAGTCAATCTGATACTATCGTATATGTTTTCACAATGTTTGTATAAATTTATTCATGTATTTGATACCTTGAGATTATATATGTTGTACAAGCTAGTTTCAAGATATTATTAATCTTTTTTAAAACTTTAATCTAAATATTAAAAGTGGTCCACAGTGGTACATGTTTAAAGCATCTCCAATGGTACAATGTGCACGGTACACATGTGGCATAAGAGATAGCCACATAACTTTTAGTAAATAAATTCTTTCTCTCCTTATTTAAATGATTTTATACAATATTGGTAAGTTTTTCTCCACAATGTCAAGGAGACCGTCTAGATGTTGAGATTGTTGTTGTCATTGCAGAGAGAA